TTTGCTTGTTCTGAAATGGTTAATCCCGTTTATATTTTTCCAAATTTCCATACCGAAAATATTAAAGAAACATGAAAATACGGTCGAATTTTGAAAGTCCTAAAAATCAAAACACTTTCCTATGAAAATATAATTTTTTAAGGATTTGCAGTTTTGTGTGGTCATAAATATGCGCCTTTCAGATTTTTGAAAAACTTCATGGCTTAACTAGATATTAAAAAAAACAAATTTTATAATTAACTATTTTAAAAATGGTCACTAATTCCATTATAATCTTGTAACGTTTTTAGTTCGTTACATGTCTTTTTTATATATAATATATGATGTCTGGCCTATCATCACCGGATTCCCTCTCGTTCAGGCCGGATAGTTTATTTGACGCGTAATTTTTACGTTCTCTAGTCGCCAACCCTGTTATCGTTCGACACAACCCTGTTACTATTCTGTGGAGGCGCGCGCTGTCAACATCGCTTCTGTCAACTCTCCGTGCTTAACCTCACTTTGTTTTGACGCTCTGTTGTATCCCAGCTTTTGGAAATGGTGATTATTTAAGTCTTGCTGTATAATTTGAATCAGCTGCTATTCAAAGCAACAGGTAAAGATGAGATCTTATCCTTTTAGATTCGATATTATTATTGAATATTTTTAGGGTAGAGTTACGGATGTCCCAACTTGTATTTGTATTTGGCTGGCACGTTGGTGTCCCTTTGCTTTTGTCCTCCAGAATGTCATTTGGAAGAAAGGACAGATTGTTTATTATTTATTGAGCCCTCGGAAGTATTTCGAGGTAGGTTCATTTTGTTTATTAGACAGTGTTTGATTTTAAACAAGAGTTCGTGTTCTTAGGGTCTTACGGACGGACATTGTCTTACGGACAAGTGTCCAAGGTATGGACTATTTTTCAAGGTCCTAGTAGTGTTCTCCTGTGCCACTATCTGATGGACGGATGTCCCATGGACAAGTGTCCCCAGTAGGATTGATTTGTCTTACACATAGAGTGCCCCAGCGTGGATGTGGCTTGAGCCCCGTGCTGCTTCACCCCCATTTCTAAGCCTGGATCGCCGACAGACAGTACAGAGATGCTAGACCTCCTCGCGCTGCTACTGTTTGAAGCAGGGTTACATAAAAGAACAGCTAAGTGTATATTTAAGTTCTAGTTTTGCATTTAACATCTAAAATGTTTTCAGTCTTAAACAGTAACGTACATTTTAAACAATAGCGTACAGACTATATTTAGTGGTTAGATTATTAAGGATATTTATGTCGATGCAGTAGTAAAAGTGTGATTTAGATTTTAGATTTCATAATATCACGCATTGTAATAGTATTACTTTCTATAGACATTATTATTACGCTATACTAACAGATGAATAACGAGATAGATTCTAGAATCTACAGGTTGCAACACATCTGATTTAACACCGTATAAATTTAACAATTTAAATAAAGTAATGCTACTTTTCCTATATTTTCTATAACGTTACACGCATTGTATTTTCTTTATAGTCTTTTCATAGAACGTATTTAATATTATTTACATATATAGTTTTACTCAACAAGTAACCACTATAATAATTATATTAATTGTACAATGCTATTTACCATCAGAATTCATCACGAATAAATATAGTCATTAGTTTTAAGTATTATACAACTGTGTTTTCTTTCTCTGTACATGCCTGGCGCCCAATATCTATATATCTTTTGTTTATTATTATTGATTAATTTTCTCTCTAGTGAAATACCTTATCCACGACTGCTCTCCGATGAAAAGCTGCCGTTCGCAGTGGTAGTTGTTTAAAAAAACGCTACAATCTATTTTAGACAAAAAGTTTTCAGATAAAAGTTGTAGATAATCACATACTTAATGAGATTGTGTTCTACTTATTTTTCTAAAGTCTGTAATTTTTGACATATAACACAAACTTATGTTTTTTTTTTAAATGGAAACCATAGTTAGCCATGACTTCATAGAAAGCGCCATTTTTTAAGATTTTCAGTGATATAAACTATAATATGTTTTTTTCGAAAAATTACAGTTAGAGCCAATTGTGTCATATGTCAAAAATTACAGGCTTTAGAAAGAAACGGAAAACACAGTCTCATTAAGGATGTGATTATCTACAACTTTTATCTGAAAACTATTTGTCTAAAATAGATTATAATGGAATTAGAGACCATTTTTAAAAGAACCGAAATTTGTTTTTCCGAAATATCTAGTAAACCATAAACTTTTTCAAAAATCTGAAAGGCGCATATTTATGACCCCACAAAACTGCAATTCTTTCCCCATTTAGCCGAGTCTCTATCTCCAGTAGTTTCCGAGATACCCATAGAGAACATCGTGGAAAATTCACCCTGTATGTAAAATTATATGGGGAATGTCATCGATCGTCATTTCCAAGCCAACTGGACACCGTTTTTTGTTCGTATGATCGAAAATAACACACATTAGTTTACATTATATGTAAAATTATATGGGGAATGTCATCGATCGTCATTTCCAAGCCAACTGGACGCCGTTTTTTTTTTCGATCATACGGTATAAGCTGTAATAATGCTCATAAAAATAAGTACGGTATGGTGGAAATCGAGGATCAATGACATTTCCCATATAATTTTAAGTTCAGAATGATAGCGATCTTCTTTTCTCAGCAATTCAACAAATTTCTTCAAAACAGTTCAACACCAAAATCGAATTTCTCAAGCCAAAAATCAACCAGACATCAGTTTTGATCCAAACATCTACGTTATTAGTTCCGAAATTATTTGAAAAAAACCGGAATAAAAATGAAATTTCATACACCCTGTACCTTTTTTTACTCATTTTTTCTGCTGAATATATTGCCGAAGCTTCCCGATTACAATTCAGATCACCCTGTGTAATGCAGCTATATTTTTGATTAAGTATTAGTCCCTATAGACCCTTAAACCATTATTATCAAAAAAAGTAACGATATACCCGGAAAAAACTTTAATTATCCATCTTTGGATCATTAATTAATATAAGAAGCAAAAAATACCTTTGAAAATCTCAGGAAATAAGACTATTTAACCCTTACGTATAAAATTTTCGGATGCTATTCACCAATAAACCAAAATATATCTAAAAAACTTCAAAATAAAACATCCTACCTTATTACAAAACGCCTGGTATGGAATAAAACACTCAAAATACACTTAAATCAAACTTTTACCACGTTACACTAGTTAAAACAAACATAAAATGAAATATAAATCTATTTCAGAATAAAATTTGTCTTGTTGGAATGACAAAAACAAATATTCATTGTTTTTTTGTCTGCCATACTTGCCATGGTTGCTAGGATACGTACGGATTTTATTTGGATGGAGGTGTTTCAACGCTACCTATGATCTGCTTCTAATTGCACGGATCGCAGATTGATAAAGATCATCGAGACGAGAAAAAATAGAAGGACTGAGATTCGTGGGGCTACTATGGATGTTATAAATTATAGATATATGAACTTTTATGGAAAAAAATATTTTTTTTTGTGTATTTCGCCATGGAAAGAATAATTTAAAAGAATTTTTATGGAAATTAGTGTATTTTATTAAATATATGGATTTAAATTATAATAAAATAGATATAAATACTATTATTTAATATAAAAATACAGTTTGTTGGTATTTCATAGTTATAATAATGTTTTTAGTTTATCTGTCTATACGTTAAAATGATTTTTTTCCAATTTAGGTATAATTTTTAAAGGTTCCAATGGCTTGATTTGTTTAAAATAGTATTTAAGCATATTTATGAAACATAAATTGGCAAGTCTAGGAGAATAATTAAACAATTAAAAGAAAAAAAAATAGAATGCCTAAAATAGTATACCATAGATATTAAAAATAAAAGAAAGAGGGATTTAAATTTATAGAAACAAGAGATTTTTATGGCGGGGGGGGTGATTTTATAATTAAAAAGAAAGGTTTTGTAGAAATTAAAATATAAAAAAAATTGTGATTTGAAATATAGAAAATAGATATAAAAATATTGATTTTTCTCAAAAAATAGTACATGTACAGGGTGGGTCAAATTCGACGCTTTTAAATGGAAACACCAGTGATAAACCTAGTGATAATAATGATAATAATAATAATCTAGATAATAACGTATTGCAGTAGGGTAATGTCAAATAAAACAATATTAGAAACATCCTAAAAAGTCACAGCGGCCGACTAGATTTTTTCCTAAAAAAATTACAGCTGCCCACTAGATTCTTTAGCTAAAAATGTTTTTTGCCATGACATGTAAGGCTTTACATTTTATTTTTTAATTTCAAATCGGTGAGTTTTATCAAAAAAACACAAGAGATAAAAAAGTTTCTAAATAAACTAAACTATCAAAATTAATTTTTTTTGCATGTGTTTGATAAGATTTTTCTTTAAATTTCATTAACAAGAATGATAGGGGTAGTTTATTTCAACCCCTTCCACTCATTTTAAAAAAGTGAAAAATTACCAGAAAGTGTGTTTTCATAACAGTAATGCTTCCGTAAAATTTCATTAGTCTATCTCTTTTCGTTTTCAAGATAAAAAATAAGAACATTATTTTTCCGCCATCTTTGTACCGCGATATCTCCCTAATGGTTGACTTTTGGCCCAACTACCCTTTATTTTGAACAAGGAATCACCCCCTGAAGTTTTTTGCATTTGTTTTGAAACACCCTGTATATCAATATATAATCAACGTGGATTTATGTATTTTACTTGCTTCTTCTCTACATAACATGTTATAAAATTGAATATAGTAATATAATATATTATTGAGAGTCCTGCCAGCAGGAATTTAGAGTTAGATCGTCAGAAAATCTCATAATTAAATCAGATAATACAGAATTTAACGTTTGATTCAAAGATATTACTTTAAAACAACGTACTGACGATCCTGCTGGCGCAGATTTGAGGTTAGGTCAGCAGGAAAAGCTCGCGTCGGCATCGGACTCCTAAAAATACCTAAATATAAAAAATCTACATACATTGTGTCGTCTGGGTGATTATGTCGGTTATTAAAACAGCCTCTCGGACTACTTATACATATTCTAACACCATTTAACACACGACTTGCACTGATTTTACTCTAGGAGTAGAGAAAAAGACTGGTGAGTCGATGTATATCAAAGATAAATATGATTAAACGACAGAACAATGTAGCAAAATTGTGCTCCTCCTGCTGGGGTGATCTCTGGTGGCCTGAGTGGCCAGGTTGTCGCGACAACAACCGACTTGGTAGCCGTGGTGTATAATATGACTTCGCGCGCGCCCGTCGCCGACCCGGTGCGGTGCCGATGGTGGACTGGCGGCTGCTCGGGCTGGCGGGACCTCGCTGGCGGCTGCCACGACGTCGCGCGTCGGGGTCGGCGACGCGGCCCGCCGCCGGCCAGACGGGAAATACGAACAGAGATCGGGTCGTCTCGGATGGGATCGGCAGGCGAGGAGTCCCGGGAGCGGCGGGACACCGGGAATGTTTGGTCGAGGTGTGCGGTGGTTTGTTTACGTGGTGGTCTAGTGGCAAAAAGGAATTTTGAGGGTGCCATGAACTACTGTATTTCTTTTCCAGGTAGTCGTATTTTTTTAAATTCCGGAAAACTGAAAAGAATCCAGCTAGATGGAAAAGAAACACTGCCGTCACAGGAAGTCAAAATATGGGGCTGCGACCTTAACATTTGTAAGAAAAGTAAGCGCCATGATTACTTATGGAGGAGTTGGTTGGTGCACTAAACTGAACAACGTACAAGTCAAAACCTGTGCAAAATGCAGAGACTGGCATGCATCTGCATCACAGGAGAGCTCTAACAACCTCCCTAATAGCAGCAATGGAAGGCATTCTGAACCTAACACTATTGACTGGTCATTGTCAGCTCAGAAGCTTGAAATACCTCCCCCCCCCCACCAAAGAAAAATTGCACTTCTCCAACTCCCAATGGATGACTTTGAGAAACATCTCAATGTAGTATTGAGCAAGAGAGAAATATGTGCTCAGCAGTTAAAAGACCATGACATAACTTGGTATACTGATGCTTTCAAAACCAATGCAGGAACAGGGATCGAAGTATTTGGGCCGAGAACTAAATAATACGAACAAATGGACACCTACCCCATCATACTTTAGGCAGAAATCTACGCTAGTGAAAGATGTGTACGAGTTATCCTATATAGAAACTATCGGAAACAAGAAATAACCATCTTATCCGACAGTCAAGCAGCCTTAAGAAGAGCGATCACCTCAGTAACCATTCGAAGTTGGTGAAAAAATTCTTAGAGCTGAACAAATTAGACAAGGAAAATAAAGCTCTCCTACTCATCAAAAGATAGAAGGCATTGAAAAAGCAAACGCTCTAGTTAAAAAAAACAGAGAACACTCGACGAAATAGATCAGAACCGTTCTGCTTCCCAAGTGGAAATCAATTTAAAGCAGAAGTCATAATCCTAGAAGACTTCATCCGTAACCTGGAATGGGTATTCTTACTATTCTTCAACGGTTTAAGACACTCGAAGAAATTTTTCAGAACTTACGATCAAGAAATCACGGATCAACAATCGAATATTCTTCATTTTATTGATTTTATAGAAAGCACTGTTCATTAAAATGTTGTATCCTATGTTATAGGGCTTGTTTCTCTCTACAATTTCCTGTCTCACAATGTACCGTTTGTGACCAGGAAGGGTTCATAGTTTCATAGATGTCGATTTTCGAAAGAAATCAGAACATGTACATTATTTCGTATATTCTTCATTTTATTGATTTTATGGAAAGCACTGTTCATTAAAATGTTGTATCCTATGTTATAGGGCTTGTTTTTCTCTACAATTTCCTGTCTCACAATGTACCGTTTGTGACCAGGAAGATTCCTGAATCCAGGAAATTTCCTTACGAATCAACAATCAAGAAAAATATTTGATGTCAAGATCAATAGTTCTTCTCCGATTTTTATAGCATTGATCAACAACACAATTTACAATCTGCCTACTAAAAGAAAAAAATTGGCGCCGGGAGGCACGTATAGCTGCCCATACTAAAATATATTAATAAAAAGTTTGTAGGCAGTTCTTTTAGTTTCAAAGTAAAGGAATTTTTCCAATTTTTTTATCTCAAACGCTGCGACTTTGACTGATTTTGATGTTATTACAAACTTTGTTACAAATATTATGGCTAATCTTAAATTGAAAACCGCGTTTCGTTAGCTACTGGAATTTTGGAGTTACGATTTTTTAAAATTTTTAACCCCTCCCATACCCCCTTATCAACCCCCCACCCCCACCAAAAACTAATGGCCAAATTCTCGGGTGCCAGAATATTTTTGTGCCAAATCTGGTTAAAATCGGTTTAGCGGTTTTTGAGTTATCGTGTTACAGACAGACGGACAGACAGACAGACAGACACCATGAAAATATTTTTTCTGTTGGTATGGTCGGCTAAAAATATGAAAATAAAAAATTGGAAGATAATGTCCATTAACAAGAAATACTTTCGCAATGACATGGGACATCTTTACGTAATAACTGTAATTGATGTGCCATCATGAATGCGCGTATTTATAGCGTGGAATAAGCGATTCGCGTTTGAAAGCTTTAAAAAGTGAACAACAAAAAAAGGAGACGAGGAGTTCATTTTCTAAGAGCTTCAACGTGTCGTTACTAAAGCAACTGCTGGAACATCGTCCGAGCTAATGAATATACATGGATTTTATTCATTCATATAATAAGCGTCATTTGTCAATGACGGATTCGTAAATGGGCTATTGCGCGCTGGACTTTTGCATGCAGGATGTCACAATTTTCAGTGAATATGCAGGGTCCGGCAAGAGTGCGTCGGGCATCTGTAGCTCTTATAATTAAAAATTTAGGAATTTTGTTTAAGTGTAAACCTATAATATATACAGGGTGTCCCAGAAATGAGTGCAGATATTTTAAGGGGTGGTAGATCTGGTCAAAATAAACATATTTCCTCTTTACCATTTTTAAAATAAATTGAAAATAACCGAGTTATTTAACTTCGAAAATTTTAAAAAATAATCTCAAAAATAACATTTTGAGAACCGCCGGCAGATATCGCCAACTACATCCAATTACCCGGATCAAGCCCGGATTTCAGTTAATTCGGCGCACTGTGTTGCCATAGGGACAAGAAAGTATATGTTAAAAGTAAGTCATAAAATCACAACACCTGAGGAGTTTGCAGAGATGCATTACATTTTTAAGGTTGTGATATTATTACATAAAATAAATTAAAAGTTAAATGTTTAATAATGTGTTAAAAAAGTTAAATTAAAAAACTTACCCAACATTAAAAAAGATACTTATGACAGATCGATGTAACTGTGACAGTTCTCTTTTTCGATATACACTTAATTAAAATACACTTTACTGTGCTGCTTTACTTGTACATGCTATTATAATAACTACTAAAATAACAGTCCCCATTTTTAACACATTATTTTCATATAGGCCTCATCACAATTTGAACCACTGATTTACAAAACACCTTGAAAAGCACACATTACTTTGAATACCTTTCTGAATGAATAAATGTTGAGAATTATTGTTTCTTACCGCCACTTTCCGAACCACTTTCAATCTAAGAAAATACATGTTTCACTCAACAATTTTAAATACGTATTTTGGTTTTTCGCTATTTTTTCTATGTATTTCAACAATTCCATCAACAGCCCAACCGTCGCGTCGGCCGTCGGTCAAGAGAGCGGCGCATCACTGGTAACTGCTCCTTTGTCGCGCCGCCGTGTCGAGCTTGCATCATGCGAGGTTGCCGTAATGTAATTTCAACAATTTCAAATTCATGACACTCGAAGCAATCAAATTCTTATTAAATTTTAAAAATAAAACAGAAAAACATGAAAGGAAACAAACAAAACACAAATGAATTGGTTATTGATAAGGTTACAAAAAAGAAATTTCTAAAATGTGTATCGTAATTCAGAATTTAATACATCGAAAACAGCCCGACGAATAATCAATTCATTTTGGTTTTGTTTATTTCCTTTTATGTTTCTCTGTTTTATTTTTAAAATTTAATACGAATTTGATTGCTTCGAATGTCTTGAATTTGAAATTGTTGTAACTACGGCAACGTTGTTTAACATCGTCGTCTGACGCAAGCCCGACACGACGGCGCGGCGACCGGCGACTCAAAGGACCAGTTCACACGCGGCAGTTTTTGGCTGACAGTTAGGCTGTCGATGGAATTGTCGAAATACATCGAAAAAATAGCGAAAAAACAAAATACGTTGTCAATAATTGTTGAGTGAAACATGTATTTTCTTAGATTGAAAGTAGTTCGTAAAGTGGCGATAAGAGATACAGACATTTATTCATTCAGAAAGGTATTCAAAGTAATGTGCGCTTTTCAAGGTGTTTTGTAAAACAGTGGTTCTAATAAAACAGAGAAACATGAAAGAAAACAAACAAAACAAAAATGAATCGATTATTCGTATGGCTGTTTTCTAAATTTCTTGAATTGAATTCTAAATTACGATAAACATTTTAGGAATTTCTTTTTGTGACCTGATTGTGAATAATATGAATCATTTTATTAAATTTATTCCAAAATAAAGTTATTTTGCAGCATAACAAAGATTTTCGTAAACGTCATAAACGTAATGTTTTAGTTAATTTTCGGTGGTTTTTGTTAAGTTTTCATTGAAAGGGTAAGTACTAAAAATAATTAATGTGTTTTTTTTCTATAATTATTAATAATGAGCACTGATAAAATATTAAATTTAACATTCCTAATTTTTTGAGTAAAAATTTGTCTATGAATTTATAAATGTAGAACTATGTTCCGCCGAACTATGTAGAATGTGGATAACATAGGAGGTTGCAACACTGCAAGGTTTAGATACACCGTAGGGAAATCTCAGGTGAATATAGAAGTGTCACTAAAAAGTTTTTTTAAATTTCCCGGAAAATGTCAAGATAAATTTTAAATTTTCAACATTTTTTTTTCGCAAAAAAAACTCATAGGCGTGTTTCTGGGGTTGAACTATACTACCAGTTAAAGTATTTGCACTTATTTCTGGGACACCCTGTATAATCATATGTACTAGCGTGTACCAGCGACTTCCTTCGCGTCGAATTAATCATTTGTAATGGTGATGATAAAGCAAAGCAAGAATTTCCATTAACATACAAACTGGATAAAATTTTCTCACATTTTTGTCATTTATGTCAGCATGAGAAAAAAATAATATGGCGATATTATTATATAACTTGGTAATATTTGAGGGGTAGTTTCATCTCGTTGGAATTTGACTTTCGAAAA